TTCTGGGGCTAAACCAAGTGGTCCATCAAAGGTTCCACAAAAACCAAACTATGCACCCTCCTACAGTATGTCTGGTTCTTCTGGGGTATTTGGAAACTATGGACAAAAATGGAGTGGTAAGAATGCATTTTTTCTATTAAATTACTCTAGTTTAATCTCTATAATTATGAGTGTAGACCCTTGTAAATCTTTTCTCTATCTTTTTAGAGGACACACCTCAACTCTGATTGAAGGAGTAGTATGAAATGGAACCAATTTGATACCAATGATGTATGAGAGTATAAGGGTGAAATAAACTTCACCCTTTCAGCCCTAGTAGTGACCAAACAATCCTGACTCCTTGTTGTGTTGTTAAATTTGTTTCAAAGCATTCTTTAATGATTTCTTTTTCAGCACCCAAACCAGTTGGCCAAAATGAGTTTAGTGACATTCTAAATGCACAAGGTTTTAATCGCCCAACTGCACAAGGAGCACAAGGGGCACAAACTCTAAGCTCTCTTAAAAAGGAACAAAACAAACCTGATGACCCTATCAAGGCTAAGGTACTGTACTATTAAGAACATAAATCGTTAATTAATTTATTAATTTTATGACCACTGGTCATTTTTGCAACCATTCTTTACCTTGATGGTTGTTCACCAGACTGACTTGACATGCAGCATCCACTTAGAAAATGGCTAATTTTCTTCTTTTTTTTTTTCAAGGTTGAGGAGTGGTCTGAAGGTAAAAGAGGCAATATTCGGGCCTTATTATGCTCACTCCACCTTATACTGTGGGAAGGAGAAGACAGATGGAAACCATGTGGCATGCACAATCTTGTTCAACCTGAACAGGTAATACATAATCACCACAAATAGTTTATTATGATTATGCTATGAATACAAGCATCACTCTCAGATTTACTAGACTTGGGATTTATTTATTGAAATTTGTGTTTAGTAATTTAATGAGCTTTATGTTCTAACTCATTTGTTGGTCTTGTAATAAAAACTACAGAGAAATTGAAACCTTTTCTCCCAAGATATTATTGGTAATTCTCCTTACTGTCTACTATTTAATCGTTGTGATGTAAATTCTGAGGATTTGGTATTGGATCATTTATAATAATCCCATAATTGATATTTTTCTTTATTCTCATCCCTTTTCTGCTAGCTATTATGATAAAAATTGTAATTAGAAATTCCATCTTGGTCAGTTATGGGAGTTAAAGTGTTGAAGTGTTTCTTCGTGATGAGTCTTCAGAATGTTCTTATTTTAAATGCATTGACAAACAGATCAATTCTTTATTGTAGGTGAAAAAATGGTACAGAAAAGCTGTACTATCAGTACATCCTGACAAGGTGGGTACATCTTTCCTTGAAAAATCCATAAATTCTCCAAAATTAATTTCTTTACATTTCAGTCTACAGTCATTCAGAGAATTTGTGGTATCATCACAACATAGTTTTGAAAACATAAATTCTTGTTTGTTTGTTTGTTTGTTTGTTTGTTTGTTTGAAATGAATTACCTGAATATGTTGGCAGGAAACTAACAAGGTTAACTGCTGTTATGGAAGTCAATTTGTCAAAGGTTATTTTACCAGCAGATCAAATTATGATTTATTTTATGTGAACTGTTAACTGTGTCACCTTTACATACACTAATGTACTATTAATGTGATCAGATGCCTGGCTTTCTATCCCAGTTAGTATGTGGGAGGCACTGTCCAATTTAAATTAAAGCCTTAATTTTTCCAGACTTCTTGACCCTAATTTAATTGTAGTAAACCTTTAACATTTGGTAGTCTCCTATATACTGGTCAAGTCAGATTTATGTGATATGTACAGGACAGAAATCTGTTCATCAACACTGATTCCTTATTTTACTTTTTAGCTGACTGGCAGCCCAGAAGAGCCACTAGCACGTGCAATTTTTATGGAATTAAATGATGCATGGGCAATATTTGAAAAGGAGGGATCAAAACCATTATTTTAAAGGGAAATGTTAAAATACATGTTGTATTAGTCAAGTGGCAAGAGTCTTAAAATCAATAGAAAGAGACAATGGAACTAGCAAACACATTACACAGCTGAACCAGTCTCTGCTGGTGGGGTCATAGATAATTAAGAGATACAGTTAGTATCATTTGTAAATGTGCTTGCTATGATTTGTCAATTTAGTGGGTAGACATTTTACTGTACAGTCTGATAAATTCAAGAGTTGGTTTGAACTGAAATCTTCCCTCATCTGTTTGAACTCCTAGAAAAAAATCTTGCTTATCTTGTTTTCTCTGACTGTACTTAAATTTACATAACTACAGTAGGACCTCGAACTCATTTAGTAAGAAGTATGTATATTAAACGGCTAAGAATATATGGAAGTCATATATTTGACCTGTGGATAAAGACATGGATGAAAGTGATCCTCACAGTAATGTACACTACTTGAGCAGTAGTGAAAATAAGGCCTGAAAAAAAATTCAGGCCTGTACTGCACTGGTATCGCAGAAGTCATGGGTTCATATCCCGTACAGGCCTGAATTTCTTTCAGGCCTTATTTTCACTACCGCTCAAGTAGTGTACATTACTGCAAGGATCACTTTCATTCAAGTATGTATATTGTTGGGAAAACACACGCTTATTTGTAGATGCTACAAGTTGATGTACATGTTTATACATTATTTCTTGAGAGAACTACTGAGAATCACAAATTTTTTCTCACAATCTTACTTCATATCAAATTCTTCCCCTCCCCTCCCCTCCCCTCCCCTATCCCTGATATCCTTTGGACAAAAAGTATCAATGTTATTGTCAAAGATAATGCCAATAATGACTTTAATTTAGAACAACTACCTTGATTCATGTTGTTTTTCCTTTAAGGTATTAAGTTATCTTTCCCAGTGAGGGGTGTAAGGAGTATTATTTTTCACGAAAAAAAGGAAGCAGAACAATTCTGGTATTTGTGGTCAAATAATATAGAGTTGACTGAGGGGTATTATTTTTAATTATTACAAAATAAGAAAGAATCAAAACTTCTTAGAATGCAAATTTGTTTCGTCCAAGAGGCTATCACATAGAAGTAGTGATGTGTGAAATAATGTCTCATGGATATTAATCTTTTAAAAAAAAAAAGTCCTTGCCGTCAATAGTAACTAATGAGGAATTAAAAATTATTTGCAGTAGCTTGGTGAACATGTCGTAACTCACTGTTTTTAAGAATAGCTCATCTACTCCAGACATCTTGTTTTGAGGGGATAACCTGGTTAAAATGATTGATGAGAGTTGTGTCTCATTCAAAGTCGACAGTGTGGAAAAACTTTGTTTTTAGATTGTCACTTGCTATGGTGCATTGGTCAATTTTTAATGAAGGGTGGGTACAAGCCACTAAATAAGATGAAGCTTCCCAGTAATAGTGTGCGCTGGATGTATTAGCCCTCAGTTCTTGGGAATTACCTGGTAATAGTTATCAAAACAAAGTTTATGCTAAGGGTAGTGCTAAGGTAACAGCTGGTTTTGCTACATTTTGAGTTTGCTATATATGAGTCTGCTACATCAGTAAACCTTGTAAACCTAGTAAACCAGTGTTAATCAAATGTTAGTTGTCAAACTAGTTGGTATAATTGAAAAATCTGGGAAATGGTCTGGCATTTATTACACAAAGGGCTTTCCCTTGATAACGTTTTTAATGCATCTGTTGCCTTCACTGAAGGTACACTTTTTAAGAAGTGATCAAGAGACACTGTTCTTGACAAGCCTCAATATAGGTTACTGCTGACAAAGATTTATCACAACAAACTCAACTCAATATATAGTCAGTTATGATTATTACTTTGTATTTTATTTTCATTCTTTCCTACGAAGCTTTCTACAAGATTAGACAAGTTACTTTGATTTATGAAACTATTACAAAACTGAATCTTTTGCAATTATAACACAAATTGCTTACCTACATACCAACAGTTCAAGTTAAGTTTTCTTGAATTTTACCTCCATTTTGTGAATAACCTCAGTGATTTCCTCAGATCTTTCCATTTCCACATGGTTCACCTATCTAGAACTAGTCTAAGGATTTCACTTCAAAAAGTGTTCTATTGCTTAAGCAGAAACCCTTGCATAATTCTTCAGTTCCAACATAATGTTGGTGGAAAACTGAATTTGTCTCCAATCATTGTGGCTTAAAAGAACCTGTTTCTAACTGACAAGTTCAACAATCTTGGTATGCAATCTTTAGAAGCCTCCTCCTAGCTGAGTAAATAACATAATTTATTTCTTTTAATAATCCTTTCACCTCCAAGGTTTCTATATGCCACACTGTTTGCACTGTTTTCAGTTGTTGAATCAATCATTATAAAATAATTCAAATAGTACGCATGCTCTGATTGGCCATAAAACCATTTTACATGAACATATGTAAACACAGTTTTTCATACTGAATCTTCTCGCGGAGTTCTCCCTACTATTTATTTAGCAGTAACTCAGTTTCTTTAAATTTGTTTTGAGTACAGTAATGGAAGAAGATTTTCCTAATTTTTCTTTGGAGTTTAATTTTCCCAGTATTCAAGAAACAGCCGAAAAGCCAAATGAACAACAACAACAAGCACGTCGCTTTCCTTCCTTGCAAGAAGAGGCTCTTTCATTAGTTATTTTATAAAATAAATGTAAAATGGTTTCCGTGTTTACATAGCCTGATGTAAACACGCGGGAGGTTGGGAGAACACTAACCTCCCACGTGTTTACATCAGGCCATGTAAACACGGAAACCATTTTACATTTCTTCAATACTGCTTAGTGGATGTTTTCTTGTCACAATTCTCCCTTATAATGCACTGATATGGTGGGAAGAAATTACATACTGGTCACCCTGGTAGTGAAAGGGTTAAATTTGGTGATGATTGTGTGAACTTCAAATGAATTTCTTTTGTTCATTCCTTATCAATTTGATCTTTTCATTTGATTTGCAAAAGATGGGCTCAAACTCAGTTCTGAAGCTCTAGTAGTCCCATAATAACTTCACATTCTGCTTCATCTGCATGCAATACTGGCTTGGATCTTTATTTCTGACAGAGATATTTCACTTATGTCACTTGATACACTGTGTGGATGGTTGTGCATGCACTGGAGTTGTGACCACATCTGGGTCAGTTAACTTCAAGTTTCATTGTGTTTCCTTTGAAGTTTAGTCCACTTCTACGTCAGTTATTTTCACTGCCTATCACACATCGACATGAAAGCATTCTCTCTCAAATTTTTCAAGAGGTTCTCGAGGTCCATTTGTGTCCCATCTGAGTGCACATAGTTGAGTATACATTGTACTAAAACGTGGTCTACTTGGAGGCAATATATCCCAGCATTCTTTCATTAAAAAAAAGATTCTGGCAGGACAGTCTGCAGGGCATGGTAACAACACATGTTCTCTAATATGGTCCATGACCTCTTCATCTGAGCATCCTTCATGAGGCCTGGAACCAAAAGAAAATATCTCCCAGAGGACCACACCAAAGGACCATATATCTGTCTCTACAGTGAACCTGTAATTCAATACCCCTTCTGGAGCCATCCAGCGTATGGGCATAGGAGGTCTATTTGGAACACGACAATAGTCGTCGGAAAAAGGGTTCCGCGATAAAGCCATGTCTGTAATTTTGACAGTCATACGAGGCCCCACCATACAGTTGCGAGCTGCTAAATCTCCATGGATATAATTATGTTGGGATACATAATTCATTCCAGCAGCAATTTGAATAGCAATCTGCAGTTGATCATAATAATTAAGAGGCTCAGGATCTTCGTCATCATCCACAGCTCCCTCTAGAGGCGAGTTCTCCACCAGGTAGTCATGTAATGTGCCATACTCTACGCACTCATACAGTATACATGTGGGAGGCCCATTGTAACACATTCCCACAATGCTGATAACATTTGGATGACTAAATTTTGACCAAGTCTCTGCTTGGCGCAAGAAGGTTTCCCGGTTCCTTGCAGATGAGCTGTTTCGGAGTACTTTTGCTAAGATAGCTCTTGTCTGGATTCCTTCAACCTTCTCCAAAACTTCACCTTTGTACAGTTTGCCAAATTCTCCTTCACCTACATCTTTTATGAATCTTACAGTCTCTCTACGCATCTCTTTGATCTGAAACAAAAAATGGAGAAAAAAAAACCAAGTTTGCTATTTTCTTACTAATATAGCAAACTCTTGATCTTGAGCATCTTGGAGACTTTTTTGAAGTGATTTTAATGACACACAATTCCTTGTTTTCACATTTCATTTGTGGAACAAGGAGAACTGATTTGCTATGACAGTCATTCATTGCATCAAAAATTGTTATCCCCTCACCACAATTTGCACAGAACATACCTTTGGATATGATGATTTGCCCACAACAGGTACAAGTGGAGTGGCAGCTGTCTGAGCAGCTTGGTAGATGATCTGCTTATGATATCTCCAGCAAATGAAGATCACCACTAACGAAAAGATGATGGCAAACAACAGACATGGAATAACAGTGTACAAGATGCTTACAATCTGTATAGATGGTGGAGTAGTGGATGTTTTATCTGAAAGAACAAGTTAATCATTATGAGGACTTAGAAGTTCATGTATTTCACACCACTTCATCTTGCACTCAGTAGAAGAAAAAATTATTAGAAACAACCTCCCTTAACCCTTTCACTACCATGAGTGACCAAGACAGAATTTCTCCTTACAATATCAAGCAATAACAACCAGATAAGTGATGAGAAAAAAGAAAAATATCAATTTGGAGATAATTAGTTGATCCAGTACTAAATTCTCTAAACTAACATTATAAGAATTGTATGGTTGACAGTAAGGAGAATTATAAATTTGATCTGGGAGTTACAGGGTTAACTCTTTCACTCCCAAAAGTGACCAGGAAAGAATTCCTCCCAACATTATCAATACAATATCAAGTGGAAGTGCAATGAGAATAATGAAAATTACCATTTACAGGATTAGCTGATCCAATATCAAACTCCCCAAAATAACAACATAATAACTATATGCTGAAAGTAAGGAGAATAATTACTAATGAGATCTTGCGAGTGAAAGGGTTAACCCTTTACACCTCTACATCAGTATCCATACTCTCTGTACTCTTCTTCATACATTCTGTTTGGTACTGACAAGCTCATATTGTTATTGTTATTATTGCATATGACACATCTCGGCCCATCTCCCGTCTGTTTATCAGGAGTCCACTACACTATTAACAAGAACACACCTCCACTATACCACTTTTAACCCGTTTACTCCCCAAAGTGATTGATATGTATTTTCTCCCTACAATATCCATCCATTATCCAGCAAATAAGTTATGAGAATATTGAAACTTATAAGGTTGAAGTTATCTTTATCTAGCACCAAGCTCTTAGTACTAATTTTCAAGGAAATGTGTATGAGCTAGTGGAGAAAATTAACAATCAGATCTTGGGAGGTAAGGGTTATTTAACATCCATTCAAGATTAAAAAAAAAAAAATACAAGCTTACCACAACTTGGAATATCACAGTAATCAAACTTAAAGTCAACATCAGTAGTAAAACACCATGGTTTCTCCTTTTTCCCTCCAGGATTTCGACAAAAGTTGTGTCCTCCTGCAAGCTCAGGGTATTCTGTTGGCGACAAAATGTGATGATGAGGTTTGGTAGCATTCCAGTGCTGACATTTCAGGCCTTTTTCTGTAACACTAACATTTGCACGGAAATCTTCTCCTCTGTCTTTATAGCATGCATTCATTGGTGTAGCTGAAACCAAGACCAAACAAATATTAAAACTACTGAGATTTCATTTAATTAAAACACTACTCTCCTATGGTATCATGTTTTACTACAAGCTTTGTAATGCTGAGCTCAGTGTGGTTGTGTTTCCTTACTTTACTCATTACATCTTGACCCTTTAACTCCCATTAGTGACCAAGACAGAATTTCTCCTTACAATATCAATACAATATCAACCAGATAAGGGTTGAGAATATAGAAAAATATCAATTTGGGTATAATTAGTTGATCAAATTATAAGATTGTATAGTTGATAGTAAGGAGAATCCCAAATTTGATCCGGGACTTAAAGGGTTAAGGAATGAAACAAAAACCAATTGAGCAAGTCTTACTACAGCAAGAAATATCTTACTGTGGTAAGAAAAACAGTAGATAAAACAGGAGAGAATTGTCTTTTTTATAGGCCATTTAAGCAATTAACAATGCTGACTTTCAAGAAATGTTATTTCCTAGTTGATCAAAACAGCAGTCCCCAGGTGAATAAGTGTAGTGTATGCACCTACACAAACAAAATTTCTTCAGTAAACACTTAATTCATAAATTTTGATTTATTTCATTTTCACCTGTGTACTTCTTTTCATGTGAATGTCCAACCTAAAAATCTTATGTAATAGTGACTTTGCGCAAAACTTATTGTAAACACAAACAATTAGATAAAGCTTTAGTACCTGTTTGAAAAGTTATCATAACATGTACTCTTTCCTTAGTAGTTTTCAGCTATAATTATCATGATTTTGTTGTTCAAGTTCCTTAATTGAGTTAAACCACAAGATTTACTCCCAAAGGTTAATATAATTACAGTATGAAGGAAGAGGAAGAAATAACAATCTCTGACACTAACCATTCTTTCCTACTACTGGCTTTGTATTTCTCTGAGCATTGCCCTTCAATTTAGATATACAGTTCTTTCCCTGCTTTGAATCTTTATGAGGCAATGTTGAACATTCTGGAAGAAGGACTCCCTGCAGTGATGCTTTTCTAGCCTCCAAGTACTCATTTTTACAAATATCAGTGCGCAATAATTCACATTTTTCATAACAAATATGACGAGGAGTTGGAACAGAAGAGGTCTTGTCGCAGCTGGGAAAATTGAAATGGCACAGTAAAGGTTGTACAAATGGCCTACACTGCTTGCTGATCTTTTTATAATCCTGTATTCTGCTGTAGGCAATGCTGATTTTTGTCTCAATGTTTTCTAGTTTTTCATAACTTCTGACAAAGATGGGCTGTCCTTTCAATAGTTTTTCACAAATTGTGCCATTGTAGATGACACAGGAACCATTTTCTGAAAGAGATGGAGGTGTAGGTATATCCCTAGGGGTGAAACAAAAAAAATTGTTTGAAAGAGTAAAACACAACTTGTAAAAGAGAAATCTGTGCCTTTGAATTTATGGTCCACAATTTCACCAACTGAGATGCTAACAATTGAAAGTAAATCTCTGATAACTCTATGAGTTCCATCTGAATTCTTTCTATCAAGAAGTTGACTTCAAAGGAAATTCCTCTTACAAATCAAACATGCAAATGCTCCAAAAGGGTAAAAACTAGATCCCAAATCTTGGTAGTGAAATGCTTAACATCCACTTACAAATCACCAGATGTTGTTGTTGATGGCTTGTCCTGTCCCTCATCTCCTTCGCGGTATCCAGGATTAGCTTGCTGTGAGTGTTCGGTAGCTAAAACAGAACATTTGACTGAGAATAAGTGGAAAACATACAGTACAACACAAGGCACTGCTCAAATTACAGGATTGCCAAAATTAATGCCTTTAACCCTTTAAGAGTTAGAGTGATTAGCATCAAATTTCTTCCTACATTATCATCCCTGAATCACACATTAAGGTTATGAGAATAAAGGAAATGATCACCAGCGAGATAAACTTTTGATTGGTCAACAAATTCTCCTTATCAGCACCTTAGAAAATGTATAAAGAGTAGTATGGAGAATATGCACACTGATTTTAAGGTGTAAAGGGTTAATGAATTCTCACCACCAGGGGTTTAACCTGTTACATCCAAACATCAGTATCTTTATTCCCTATTCTCTTTTCCAAGTATCATCTTTGGCACAATAATAATCAAAGCTGCTTAGGTTGGTAATCGTCTCTTTTATTCTCATGAATTCAATTAATGATTCAGCAGCATTACTGTTAGGAGGAAGTAGATGCCGGTCACTCTGAGGGTTTAAAGGTTAATAATTACCAATTGCCTGCAACTGGTTCTACGACCCCTTGCCTCATCTTTGTAAGGTTTGAAAGGCAAATTTTGTGGAAACAGTCACCCATTTCACCATTGGTAGCCACTTTTGGAACGAGCTGTTGAAACCCCCTTGCAAACTTGTGGACTGACATCTAATGACAAGTGTTGATTTTGAATCAAGATGGTAACCCCCTCCTCCCTCCTCTCCAGTGCCTCTCAGCAATTAGGAATGTTAGGAATAACAACCTTAACAGCATGTTTGGATATGAATGTGGTAATTAAATTTTACTCACTCTGTGGAATTAAGAATATGGATTTTGTGTAACAATATTACTTTTAAAGCAATTGTGTACATGTACCTTGAGTAGTGGAAGCAAGAGGAGCAGAAGATGAAGGTGTGTTTTCTAAAGGTGAAAGAGGAAATTCTGTCAAAAACATAACCTCACAAATACACTTTACGAGAACACTTAATATGTAAAGTATTAATGAAACAGCTACATATGTCATGATTTCAATTTTTTTTATATTTTTTTCCAGAACTGAAAAGTTACTAATTGTGACAAATGTAATTAACAAAATTAAGTAACATTTAATATTTCCAAATAATCACTCTCCAGTACATTTAAAATCTCAAGAATAAGAACGAGTCTTGCACACAATCTTGGGGAGGGGTACTAATATCACTTAGGGGTGTGTAAAATCTATCAAAGGTACACAGTAACTAACTTAAGTGCCTTAGACTTGCAGCCATGCAAGACTAAATAGTTCCATACTTTTTCCAATAGTTCTAACAACTGCATGAATTCTGTGTTCCTCTTGGTTCTGATCATTTTCAATCAACTTCATTATCCTCTCAGCCCACCATAAAAATTCTCAAACTTAAAGAAAACATTCTCCACCATTTCACTCCCAGGGGTGACCAAAACATAAATTATCTATACAGTATCAATACAATATCAAGCAGCCAAGTGTCAAGGAAAGCAAAAAATTTTTATCTATGGGATTATCATTTGATCCAACACCAAATTCTTAGAACAAACTTAATAATAAATGTATGGCAGACAGTGAGGAGAATTTTCTTTGAGATATTGTGAGTGAAAGGGTTAAGAGAGTTAACAGTTAGAGAACTTTCTTCAACCACTCACCAAGGGTTGGTTTGTGTGGAGTCGACTTTGGGTTCACACTATTCACAGTGAGATATGCTTGTGTCTGTGCTCTCCCAAATGAGTTGTTTGCCACACAGATGTACCAACCAGCATCACTTAACTCCACCATACGAATCTTTAGCCTAAAGCTTCCATTTCTGTAATAAGTAACAAATAGATTTACTGGTTAAAGGTTTAAGCCTGTCAAAATGACCAAAATAATACCGACACCATTTAGCTCTGGGAAGAACCCTAAGAGAGCTCTTGTTTTCCCTTAATAAGATGCTACTCTATCACAGATAACCCCAGACATCTTGAACAATTTTCTTTTATTTGCATCTAATACTCATGGATAGGAAGAAAAACTATGAGAAAAACACTGACTTAAATAAGGCAAATTCAACCAGAGAATGATCTCATTATCTGAACCTACATGTAACATGTTTGCCATTTTGCAAAAGTGTTGAAACCATCACTTTACAAGAAGAAACATTTACAAATATTAATTTAACAATATACTGTTAAATATAAAAATAAATATAACAGCTAACTACGACTATAATATGGCATAATTCATAAAAGTAGGTTTTAACCCAGTATTACTTTCTTCATCCTGTAGATGGGTCTGATTACATGGGTGATAATATCAGAAGGAGAGAACAATTTGTGATAGATGTATTTACCTTTCAATGATGGAAAATGGGCCGCTTTTGTTTCTTATTGCTTTGCCATTCCTGTACCATGTCACCTCTGGCTTAGGATTGCCACTTGCATAGCATTTAAGCAACACCTTTTTTCCTTTAACTACTGTTCTATTCTGCAGGGGCTTGTCAAATTCTGGTGCTATGGAGGGAAAAAAAACTGGTGAATAATGTTGTCCTCACAGTCATAGACCTAAAAAACAAGTAAAGCCAACCCTTTCACTTTCAGAAGTGATCAACATGTTACCTCTCTCTACAGTTACAATACACTTCTCATCAAACAGGTTTAAAGAAAAGGAAACTGCTCAGTTGAAAGCTGATCCTTGATACAGCACCAAATTCTCTAATAGCAATTTATTGGGAAATGTATCATACTTAGAAGGGAATTGATAACCAGATCTTGAGACCTTGGGGGCTTAAGATCCTAACAAGAATACTCTATCAATTTTGTATTGTAACTTGATGATTATCTAACACAAACAATAACAGTGGTACATCAAGTCACTAAAAAGATTTCCAGAAGCTTAAAATTTAATTTGAAGTCTTTAAGACTATTCAATTGAAAAGGTGCCTTTGATTCAACTCTTTCTATCCAAACATCAGTATGCATATTCTAGGCACTACTCTCTGTGTATTTCTTATGGAACTAACATGGAGAATTTGTTAACAATCAAGTCAAAGCTTTTTTAGATATCAATCATTTTCTATATTCTTGTGACCTGAGTATGTTTGATTATGTTTGATTTAGGAGTGGTGCTGCATGTAGAAATTAAATCCTGGTCACTCTTACAGGTCAAAGGGTCAAATTCTGGGCCACTCCTCAATTCCTTCTCCATCATCTATTACCTTTGGGGCTACAGGGTGGCTGGTAACTGTATAGCATTATACTATTGATGTTGCTCAAAAACATTAAAAAAAGATCATAATCAAAATGTTAGGTCAGGTGCCATATACACCTCCTTCAAAGGGTTTCTTCCATGACTTAACTTTGCTTCTCCCAAATTTCATTTTAGCTGTACATGCTGTTTCAGGGCTCTTTTTAAAATATATTTTTTTCAGTTCCCAGGAATTGCTATCAAATCTATCCCTGGTGGGATTCAAATATTTCCGAGAGCCAGAAAATAAATTTAGGAACTAGATGAAACTGGAGAATTCAATCTCCATCTCTGCATAGTTATAAGTCAAATCCATTTTCATGACCTCCTTCTCAACCCATACCTTTACAGTCTGAGCATAATCCTGTGTCATTTGACAAATGTGAGCTGCAAGAGACAGACAGATGTTAAAAAAATGTATACATTTATTTTAAAATGTTAATAATAACTTGTAATCACCTTACACAAAGTATATTTGACTTGATTTTCTCGACAGTTTTGATGTCAATATCTTGACCACACTAAGACTTAACTTAGGTTTAACATATTAATGATGCACATAAGATAACATACAAAAACATGTTTAGAAGTTAGAAGTTTGTGTCCATCTTAACAGTGTTAAGTCTGAGCTATTTATGGTAAGAAGATTTCATCTAATGTGGCTAAATTTTGTAAATAATCTTGAAAGACAAACTCAAAGCAACTCTTAATGGTGCTTAGATGTTCCAAATGGAGCTCCCTGCTGATCACTGAATTAATTGTTGTCATGATGTCACGGAATTTTCAGTCTAAGCTCTGTTGTGTTTCAATTAACGGAAAAAGACGACCTGCTCAAGTTGACCACAGAACTTGCGCAAATCCACGTCGATCAATAGATTTTGTTGTACTTGGCGATAAATGGAGTTCAAACGTCGGTATTTATTTAACCCCTACCTAATTTGAAATGTGTTTTTGTTCAAAAACGCTACAAAAACGCAAGCTTTGAACCTGAAAACTTTCAGATAAGGAGTTGTCAATTTATGGTCCTTAAATGATCCGAGAACCTTAAATCATGGAGTCTGTGAAATGGACTAAACATATAAACAAGTCAAGGGAGTAAGCAACCATGACATGCAAATTTCCAGTCCGGATAGACTTCCACGTTAATTTTTTCCATTGTTCTCCACATTCGCACTTTAAAGCAGAACAATGAAATCCTTCGAGCGGCACAATCTAAAACAAACTGTACGATGCTTTAGAGCTGAATCGAACAATACAGCACTCATCAAAGCTCTTGAGTTTCAACACACACAACTTCTTCTCATTTCATTCAAGTGGAATAACCATTTCTACTACTATTCTGACCTTCTAATTTATTGAGGTCAAAACAAAATGGAAAAATATATATTAGGCGGATTATCCACTGCCGATTAGAAGAGAATGAAACGAACAGGGAATCCATCAACGAAAACAAAGCAAAATGAACAAACTACGAAATCAACACAAGCGAGGTGTTGCGTCGTTTTGCAGTTTCCTTTTGCTGTTTGCATCTCTCGATCGGGCTTCATTACTGCAGTTATCTAAGATTTCAAACAGACCGTCTGAACTTTCTCAATCATTGCATAGTCCCATCTGGCCCCAAGCGAATTCTAGGGCACGATTAGATTTCAAAGCATCGCCGCTAGTTCTCTGCACGAGTGAAGGAAATGCGATAGGAATACGCGACCAAAGGAATGGAAATTTGTAAGAATTTCAATTAACGAAGACGTATCAATGGAACAACACATTCAGTGTGATAACCGCCAGCGTAAAAAGCTGTTAGTGAAAACGTGCTCTGAATAGTTTCTCGACCCAAACTCACTTTACACAAAGCGAATTTGCATGGTGCATTCACCGGAGTCGCATACCACGTCACGTCTAATTATTTCTTACATTAAACAAGCAAACAGTGAACTAATATAAAAACAAAACAACGGTCTGCACTTCTTAAAGCTTACCTCGAAGAATCAAGCGATCGCTTGTGTTGGAATCCCGAAAGAAAATTCCCTACAAAACATGAAAGAGGAAGACATGGAGGTGACATGAGGGATGATCGACAGAACAGATGCGCTTTCCCGCTCGCGTAGAAGACCTGATCTTGAATCTTCAGGTGATAAACAGAGGACTAAGAATACTTTTGACAGTACTATTCTTTAAATCTTTCCAACTATGTACTAACTGGATGCCAAAAAGCGACTTTATAAACCAGTGATGCAGTTCTTTCAGAATAGGTGCTGAAATATTCATACTGCTGTAATTGCATTGTAAATTGACGAACGAAGAAAATCAAACAAACACGATTCTAGCGCGTACAGTACATCCACGGCCAATTTTAGCTTACCAGACAAAATCCATAGACAAAATCCCCAAAAGAGATATTTAGACGCTGGAAATCGCATCTCGTTTTCGCTTCAAGGCATAGCCATTATATGTACGACTCTCAAAACGCATCAACCCGCCTTCATATCCACCGAATTTTGCCGAAACAAAGAGGCGCATGTGATCTGTAGCCGAGCGAGAACGGATTATTATGGGATTAGCGCAAGCACTGAAAACATGATTCTACTGACTGACACAAAGGTCAAATTCACCCTGTCACTTTCATGTCATTGGCTGCTTTATCAAACATGGAGACAAAGCCAAAAATTTCCGTTCATTTACATTGAAATATTTTGTCTATTTAGTCCATTAGCACTGCCAGCCCATTTTGTTTTGCCTAACTTCCTTAACTTTATCTCCTGAGTCAACAACGAGCATAAAGGCGGTCACCTTAGCCGCTAGACATCTGATAGGTTGGCATAGTAACCAGCTGAAACTGTCAACGCTGCCAGAGCTGACGATAAAACACTCATAAATTGTCGGTAAATTCTCTGACAAGTATCAAATGTTCCAGCTTTGTCCCTTGAAACATTAAATTTATACGTGTGAGACTGCATGAAAACTGGTCTGTTTGAAAGGTTATATGAATAGTTTTGACGGTGACGGAACTTACAAAAAGCGAAAATTAGGATTTTGAGTGACATAAAGCTCACACAGTGTTATTGAAAAACAAGACGGGCAACTTGGAAAAAGCAAACTTTGACGGAAAATTTTTTAATTAGCGTTTAAAATATTCCTTTGCGGCGAATAGAAGTGGAGTTGAAACGCCCCTTGGCGGAGTAACTGAATACGATTCGTTGATAATCAGCTTATGTTTATCTTTTCAAAGTCTCCAAGTTGGCGTAAAGTGCATTTTGCTTTGTCTATAGATGCACTTTGGCATAACATTTTTGCAGACATAAAACGTATACTAAAAGGCTCATTATTGTGTACTACAAGAGACAAGATAAAAAGTGTGCCCTCAGGCTTTTGGGCGCTTTTAAGTTTCCGATCGTTCATTCGCCTGGCGTTTTAAAAGCCTGTCACATCTCTTTGTCCTTTACATTTGATTTCCAATTTACATTAGGCGCCGGTGAGTCTGCGAGTGATGCTTTTTCAGATCTCAACACAATATTCTGAAATTTTGGAACCAAATGCTTCGGTGTTAGGGAAGTTACTTATTTACTGTCAAATCCGGCTGGGACAAATGAGGAAAAAAATGTTCGTTTCTCTTTAATCTAATTAGGTTTAAGTCCTAACATTTACCAGATTTATTTAATTTGGTGGGATCTTGGTCAGGAAATCAATATGTTTTAAACTGAATGACCGGATGACCCAGCAGATATTTGCTGACCGCATGTTAATTAATTTAAGTTAACCCCTTAACTCCCAAGATCTGATTGTTAATTCTCCTCTCTTGCCACCACACAATTGCTTGAAAATTAGCTGCGAGAATTTGGTAAAAGATCAAGATAACAACTTCTACCTGATAATTTTGAGTATTCTCATAAACCGTTTGCAGGAAATAGTGTGGAAATTATAAGGAGAGGTTACATGTTAGTCAACTCTGGGAGTTAAAGGATTAACTTTCCCAACAAATATCTAGTCACTCCTCACTAGATAATGGAGTATCAGCCTGAAATCAGACGGTTTTTTTCCTTAATTTTCTGTTCAAAATCAAAATTATGCTTGAGCACAAGTGTTCCTGGTTTTCATAAACTGAATACTGAAAAAAATTGAATCGCAACTCTTGGGTTTTTTAAACGCTTTGCATGAAATAATTTACTCATTTAGAATTCATTCTTTTTTTTTGACGTGACAAGTTATTTCCCCGGGCATAACAACTCAGAAGCTTTGATTCTTGGATACCATGTTTGTCATTGACCAACGATACCATTTTCCTGACTTTTTCAAATATTTACCTGGAGCCTGTTCTTTATGGCATTTATCTACCCATGATATTTTGGTCATGATGACTTATAAAGCATGCCGTAAATTTGACAACGATGAATGAATGGAACGTGCATCATGTTTACTGATGGAGAGGATACCTTTGAGTGGCTTCAAAAAAAAAAACCTTTTTTTTAGGGTTAAAATTTCACTGATCAAAGGCCTTAGAGAGCATAAAACTCGTGTGGGATAAGTTTTACAGCAAAACTACGATTAACAACTACTTTTCCAACATGAAAGGGCTGTATTGAAAGTCTAAAATGGTGTGTAAAAAGGGAGAGGAAGGAAAAGAAATAGATATCTCGTTTGCCATGTTCTGAGAAAACCTGAGAGCAGATGGGCACTTTTCTTCCTTGATATTCACTTTTTGGCGAAGTTGCATGGATGTAAACCACATTTTGATAACTGTAAATGGAACAAATACATTTATTTCCGTAGTTTCGAAAAAAGAGTGTTACGTTTGTAACTGTTATCATTGCAATGAATGTGAAAGCAATCTTCACAGTAATAACCTTTTATTATTGCGTAGAACACGGCAAAGTTGTTGAGACTTTTGGCGACGCAAACTTGCGATCAGGGTCCTCAAGTTTTCTTCAGATTAGAAATTAGCATGATCGAAAGGGCTGCAAGCTATGTTTGGCATCTTAGTCCAGAATATCCACAGAGTAGGTCGAGAAATTCATACTTCCTTATATCGAGTGCCTTCTGCATAACTCTGAGGACTAAAATTAGAAACACGCATATTGGTAGATAATTATCAGTTTGACAGTGATATATGGATGTAACTTTTTTTTTTCCCAAATTAAATAGACCGATACTTTTCATTATTAAAAAAATGTAAATTTTCCATTAAAATTGCATTAAGGTTGTGTTGCTACATAACATTTACGTGTCTTCCACGCCTTCTCGATCTTCTCAAAAGAACACCTTCAGGCAAATTGTTTGGTTTTGTTCAGTTTGCTGCTTTTGTATTTTTTTTTTTCAATTTTCGTCTTTACTAAAATCAGGGTAAGAATATTTAGCGAGGCTTTTAAATCAGATGAAAGGATAAGGTGTTTTCAAAGGTTTGGCCTCGAAACGTTATAACGTCCTTGGCAGGTCTGGAAAATTTTTGATAAGGGCGTGGGTGGTGGGGTCCAAACTTTGATACAGAAAATACAAAATTTTTACCTTTTTTTTTCTTTCCGTTTTTTACACCAAAGTCTGAACATGCAAAGAAAAAATTCAATATTAGTAAATTCTGAATATTTCGGGTTTGGTTTCTGATAGGAGCCCATTACTTAATGGGCTCCTGGTTTCTGATAAGTAGTAAAAAAAGAACCACCGGTCTAGTGGGACCTCTGATGGTAGAGGCGGGGGGGAGGGGGGTTGGGACTTATGGAATTTCGTGATTAACAGCCATGCTTTGAGTGACGACCTGGAAAAAGGTGACGGATCGATTATCCTTGTTTGTCATGGAAATCGCAGCGGAGTCTCTAACTCAATTTATCACGATCCCACCATTGTCTGCTCGCTAGAGAGGTTGGTACAGTTTCGGTTGAAACAATGTGTTAAAATTTTCTGAAACTGTAATTTTTACCAACGAGTCAAATACTTACTCGGCCGGAGTAATGTACTGTCACTCTTCTTCATCTTGTGCTGGTAATAAATCACAAGCATTCGTGAATAGGCTAGGATTTGCGTGCTCGCCATTTATGAGCCGCAACAACGACTTCCGCAAAAGATCAAAATATGGAATTCGCTGATCAGTTTTAATTGGGTACTCTTAAGAACCATAGCCTAGTTTTACACGGTACAGTACATCACTTCGCACTGATATGTTGTTAAGGCTTACAATACCATGAGTGACCCAGACAGAATTTTTCCTTTCAATATCAGTACAATATCAAGCGGACAAGTAATGAGAACTAAGAAAAATATTAATTACGGGATTATTAGCTGATCCAATACCAAATTCTCGGAACTAACATCGTAAGAATTGTATGGAAGTCATTAAGGAGAATCATTAGATCTTGGGATTAAAAGTGTTAAGAGGTTGGACTGTAAGGTTTATTACTGCTGGGCCTGGAGAACTTCTTGCGGAAACAGTTTCGAGCGACTTTAAGATCTTCGAATTGGTCTGCACGCGAGAGCATGCCAGAAGTAAATAATATCGGGATGAAAAGGGGGGGAGGGGTACGGTGCGCTAGTACATGCACACAGGCTGTGAAAAGTGTCAGGGAGGGAAGGGTGATTTACAGATCCAGGAGGCCGGAGGAGGGTACAGTGGAAGGCGCTAATTAACCCATCTGTGGAAACTTGAATTGGTGATTGCAATTACTTCTGGTTGCTTCCTTTGAGATTTTCACCCCTCTACTTTTATGCACGAATGTGTACGAGCGAGCGCAGATTTAACTCGTGTCCCAATTTTCCTCATTCCAAGTTTTGAAAAAACTGCCTGTGTTTTAATTGCTTTATTTATAATATGTATGAAAACAGATATACATCCTGCCCGGCATGCGCACCGTTCTACAAATGTAGAGGTTTCATGAACTCTATAAACCCTGTGACCAGCATCTTATTTCCCCTTACTGTAGAAAGGCTGAATCATTCATTTAGATGATTGAGAATAAAGGAAATGACCATCAACCTGAGAAGATTTGTTTGTAATACTAATTCTCCTTACCAGTACAAAAAGAATTGTATGGAGAATATCGATACTGATATATAGAGAATATGGAGACTGATGTCAGGGTATAAAGGGTTGAAGAATTGGCAAGAACGTCGACAGTTATTTCATTCTTCGTCAAAATTTTTACTCAGCTGGTTTCTCTTTTCGTGGCGTGACTCTCTGTACCAGCCAAAGAGCCACTCGTCCAAGTCACGCGAGAACCATTACACTACCCGTACAGCCATCATAACTGTTCTATTCATATATGATCACACTAATTGTCTCATGGCGATCATTGGAAAATGCTCAGGATGAACTAGCATATTTAGAGGCTAAAATTAATTTTGCTTTTAGAAATGCGCTCTTATTTTTCATTTCCACACGCAAGACTATCAGCAAGAAACGGATAAAAATTCTGAACGCGTAAAACAAGAAACGCCTAACAGCCACCAGTTACTGAAAATTCTGAAAAAGTAAACTTTTCTTGGAATTAAATACAACAAAATATGATACAGTAATAGTAATACTTCTAAAATGTCGGTAACCTTTAAAAGTACTTAATTGATCTTACATTCGTGTTCATAAATCACGAATTCGCTATACATTTATCCTGATTCGTTGATCTAAGATTTTAACATGCTTTATTATCACAGAGCTTATAAGCGATCAAGCTACAAAATCAAATAATTTATAGGCCAAATGAGTCATAAATCGAATTATATTATCATCCGTTAGGTCGGTATTAATAATACCATTAGTCATAGAAAAAAAAACATTTTCGTAACACCTTGGTTCTGCTTGTCATTTTTCAGTTATTGACGCATAGTGTAAGAAATGTAGTTTTTCATTGTCCGTAGTAACAGATAAAACTGATTTAAAAAAAAGGAGAAAACAACAACGACAGCGATTTTTGAAAATTCATTCATTGTTGCAGTGAACTCTTTTGTGGAAAAAGATGTCTCGAGAGATTCATGTTACTCATTTGACGTATAAAAGATCAGAACTCACACACTACGCATCTAATGTCATAACGGTTATGTTCCTCTTAATTATGTACACTCGGTCTCCAGCTCAAAACGTTTCCAAATAAGGTGAATTTTGTCTACTTTGGTACTCTTAAGTTAAAATAAAATGCCCCCTCAGCCAAGGGTGGACATAAGTTTATAATAGCATAAATAATATACCTTGGAAAATAAGCGCGAATAAAGGCTTTTTCCCCTGAGATGAAGTTATTCACAAACTTGGGATGGCTGTTGGGTTGTCACGCAATCCGTCTAGGAAAGTGAAGATTGCGTGACAACCGAAATAACGGTAACTGCAAATAAGACTTATAATATTTTCATTGATCCTAAATGAATTCCATGCAAACTAAACGTTTGAAGTCAATAATTCTCTCCTTACTGAAGGATATATAATTACGCTGCAAAGCAAATTGCTCTACTTTCATCAGTTAAAGTAACTGTTGGGTACATTTGCGTCTTTTGAAGTCAGTGATTCAACTTACTCACTGCAGAAAAAGGAAATCATCACATAACTTCACCCTTTTTTTTTTTGACCCAGTACTCCAGGTTCTCCATGTCGACATTCTACCAGCGATTTGTTGGACGGCAGGTGGCTAGTTTTTGACCAACCTGTCTTCGCTGTAATATGGGAAATAATGCGCGTTCCTGGGACTAACGGCTTTCTGCAATCGAATCACCAGCCCACTCTCGGAGACGGGAACAAATCTCGGAAAAGGGGGATCTATCTGATGGGTTTTCGTCCCAACACTCCCGCATCAGCCCGAACATTCGGGCAGGGCAGTGGTCTGGGCAAGAGAGTAATTCCAGATTCCGTATTCGCTCAATAGCCTCTTGATTAGTAAAACCGGTGAACGGCTGGCATCCGAAGGTATATACTTCCCACAATAAAACCCCGTAAGACCAAACGTCCGTCATATGATTAAACTTCAACGTGTTGAGCGCTTCCGGTGCCATCCACCGTACCGGAAGTAAAGCGCTACTGTGCACCCAAGAGTAATCCGAGGGGTACTTGTGGCTGCCGATTCCAAGGTTTGAGATTTTTATTATGTTGTCTGCGGTGACGTAACAGTTCCTGGCAGCAAGATCTCGGTGAACGAAATGATTCTCGACGAGGAAGTCCATACCAGACGCAATTTGCAACGAAAAGTCCAGTAACAGATCGTACTCAGAGATATCAGATGGTATCAACCCCGATAACTTGGATGCGTTGTCCACTAAGAATCGATACAGATCCATGTCACCAAAATACTCGAACATCATGAAGTGTGGATCTTCGTCTTTAGACAATCCAAACATACAGAGAATGTTTATGTCCTGAAGATTGGCCAGGATGTTCGTGTCCTTCATAAAGTTCTCTATGGCAGCTTCTGGTACGTCGGCTTTGAGCCGCTTGATGGCAATTTCTACACCGGTGTCGTCCGTGTCATCTGTTATCAGCAATCCCCTGCACACCTTGACAAACATACCCTCACCCAGACCCTCAAGAAAATTCACCTTGCCATTGTGTAACTTTTGATCTTGCTAAAATAGAAAATCAAAAAATGGTTCCCATTATTTAGAACGAAAATTTCAAACATTGATACCACATTTAGCGAAAAAGTTGTTGTCATTCTACATATGAAAGGTATTTGTTTGGGTTTGTACAAGTTTCAACCCCTCAGCCCCCAAAAAGTATGAGCATAAAACCTCCCCTAAAAATTTCGAAACACTCTTAGTGAAACAGGTGAGGAAAAACTCTAAACAGATCTTAGAATGATTGGGATCTCTACCAATGACAAAGAGCACAAAGAATACGAAAAACGCGAAAACAACACGAAATATGATCAGAAACGCGGAGAACTTTCAAAACGTGGAAATTGTTGACTAACCTGATGGAAGACACATGACTTGATCTCACTGATGCTTTGCTTCAGATCAAAATTCTGCTGCTGCAATGTACTCTGGGTACTCTTAGAGATGGAGCCAGAGGAGGCATGGTCGCTATCTGCAAGTGCAGTCTTACGCTGCTGTATTTTTAGGTACACAATGATTGTAATGAATGCCACAATCAAAACGGCCATAATGGCGGAAATGACGTAATTGGTGCGAGCGACCGAGCCAGCCCCTCTATGGCCATGTTTAGGGGCTGTCTCCACAGCAGCGTCTAAATAGAACAGGATCATAATCAGAGACGCGCAAAAATCGAGCAACTTCGTACCTATCTGAGTCCTAACTCAGCAATAGTCAAATGATAACAAGTTAGGGACAATGTTGGGTTAAGGGAGGGGAAGGTGTGCAGTTGCTCTGATACTGACATCAATCCTTCAGTTATAATCAACTTCACCTCACTTTCATACCGCCTGCTGGCAACTCAAAACTTGTCCAGAGTGACACTGTAAAGTGAGGGCAAAAGGGAGGTAATAACTTACTCAACGAAGAGCACTTTTTGATGTCACAATATTCCACATCGTATTCCGGTCCAACATGACACCATGGTTGTGCTTCAAGTCCTCCAGGGTTGCGGCAGTAGTTATGACTTGAGGTGTTCAAAGGATGCCACACGCGGCAGGGGCGCCCGGACTTCGTGACGTTCCTTGAGCCTGAGTATGTTTCACCAGTACCATTGTAGCAAGAATCGTCTGAAATATTAACAGTCACTTCCTTTTACATCTTAACATCAGTATGCATATTCTCCATACTGTTCTCTATATATTTCCTTAGGACCTAACAAGGAGAATTTATTTAACAATCAAGAGCCCTTTTAGTTAGTGATCATTTCCTTTATTCTCATGACCTCAATATTGGATTCAGGGGTGACATTGTAAGGAGAAACTGGATGTTGGTCACCCTTAAGGATAAATATGATATAAAAAACGAAAGCAGATGGACTATGGAGAAAAGTTTTACCAACCATGTACCATCAAGAAACGTTATCAATTGTAGACTTTCTTATAAGATCGTGATCGCTTCTACAGAAAGAGTACGTGACAGAGAGAGATGTGTTGTGGTAAGATAGAGATTGAATCAGCGCTCAGAGAATCAAAACGCACAGATTGAGCGGTGCACTGGTTGTCAATTAGACGTATTACGAACCTTGAATAAAGGGATGAGGAGGACTGGTTGGTGAATTATGAGCCAAACCTGAGTGAAACAAAAAGGAAAAAACGCGTTAAAGTTTTGAGGCAATAATTGAAGACAGAAGTAGAACGAAATGTGGGATTACTACTTTTGCATTTAGTGTTAATATTTCAAACTAAAAAGCACCTCCAAAGTAAACAAATGTTGTCCTTAGCTAGTTTTCCTCTCAACATTTCTAATGGATGGAAATAACACAACTTCATGCCAAACCATTTGTAAGAACGTAGCGGAGCTCACGCTTTTTATCTGATGATGTTTATGCCCGGCTGTTTGCTATAATGCTTTTAGATTACCGTTTAGCGTTAAACGAGAGGAATCGAAAGATTTTTGCGGTTCCGAGCAGTCCCGAAACAATACATGGAGAATCGCGCTGCACTAACCTGGAATATTAAGCGAAGTGCAATAGGAATAATCTTTGTCATCACGCTTTGGAAGAGCGGAACAGTTTGGAAGCAGAACTCTGAGCTGAGAAATACTCATCGCGAACTGAAGTTCCGTTAAACAGATGTCCTTAAACAAAGCAAAGCAGTCTTCGCGGCACAACCGATGTTTGAAGTTCTGAGTTAACGTATCGCAAGTTGGGAAGCCGTGAAAACATAACGCAGGAATGCCATATTCACTGCACCTGTTAAAATAAGAAGAATATGTTGGCTCTTTGATCCTTTAGAGTGACAAGCATCTAATTTCTTTTTACGATATCACCCCTACATCACACTGTAAGGTCAGGAGAATAAAGGCAATGATCACCAACTGAAGAAGCTCCTGATTGTTAAAAAAATTCTCCTGTCAGCACCTTAGGAAATGTAAAGAGAACGGTGTGGAGAATATGCATACTGATATTGGGGTGTAAAAGGTTAAGACGTCTTTGGAGGCCTTAAAATAGTTTGAGAAAAAAATTCTAAAAAAGGCTCTTATTCAGGACAAGTTTATCGACTTTTCTTGCAATAAATTTTTTCTGCATACCTATCAGACATCTGCTTAGTTGCTTGTATAAGTCTCAGAGCTCTTGACAACTGATCTTCAACGCGTCGCTGATAACCTGATGGATATTCAACCCAGATACTTTGATTACCAATAAACTGTGCACAGGCCTTGCCGCGGTATTTCTCACACATGCCCGGGAATGGAGGAAGCGACCTAAAACACAACAAGCAACACTGAGTCAATCTTTTTACGACTTTCCGTTGACTTTAAGTAACAATAATCTGCCATGAACAATTGAGCCTGTAGTTTTCTTCTTAGATGTTGCTTAACAACATGATGTATAGTTAAGGAAGATCACACGACGATTGAAAAAAGGTTCCAAGTTCTAACTGGATAAAACAATGGATATTTCTTTTCTTTATTCTTTTTCCGCATAACTGTTTTGTCACTTCCTTCTCTTGTCCGAATTTCAGTATTTTTAAGTCACTACTTTTTCTCTGTTGTTGTTTTTGTTGGCTACAGTTGCTATTGCATCACTTACTTGGGTGTTGTTGTGTCTGGATCATTGTCTTCTGTTGTTAGAGATAAGAGAGAGAGAAGCAAAAATATATTAACTCTTTGAACTACGCTGTGATTTCCAGATAAACATGAAAAAAAAGAAAAAACGTCAAAGAGAGAGAGAGAGAGAGAGAGAAAGAGAGTGAAAGAGAGAGAACATGCGCATAAAAATTGCCTTTGCACTCTGGGCGATGTCCTTATTACAAGCGATTATTTGTACTATTTCATGTTTAGTAGAAGCGTTTTTTATTCTTAAACTTTTTGAAATACTTTTTAAAACATGGCCTAGCATTCGCTATTTCTATGAGAAAATACTCTCTTTGTTTGAAAATAGAGACATTTATGATATTTTTTTCCTCATTCACATTAATCTTTTGATTTTTCGCGAAATCTTAAGGAATAAACAAGGCTTGAAATAAAGGCCCACAAAAACAGCTATCTGTAGCTTATATAGTTATTACCTTCATACTGGGAGGTCGAATGCTTCTCCTCTATAACTGGGAAAGTAAGAGGAGAAAACAAATTTGACAACCACGTTAATGTATCTATCATAGCTACAAGAATTTTATGTTTCAGTATCTAAGATAGCAAGCTTAATTTCTTTTAAAAGTAGCATTTCTAGTAAACTAAAAAAATTCTTTAGGAGCAGCGCTTATTGCTCGTCGAGTTAGCAATTGTTCTGATTCGAATTCCTTCGGAGGGGTGGAAAGAACCAAGTGATTTCCCCATAAGTGTTTGCCTAACTCGCTACAATTTCTGTTGCATCAAGCTGACGAGTTCACGGTCAAGGGATTTGAACTAAATTTGATTTGACAGAGACAATCAATTCTCAGCGCACAACGTAAGAGATTTGTTAGATCGAATTACCGACCATTTTCTGGTAACGTACATGAGGTCAGTATCAGTCTCTCATAGGAACATAACTACGAGGAAAAAAAATATATTTACCTGGAAGAGGAGGAGTGTTTAGTTGTCCGTTAATTTTCAACCACGCCCGCGCAGTGACTATTCCTCCGGGGCCTTTGGCCCGACATTCAAATATCCCAGCATCCTTCGTTTTTGCTCGCCGAATCTTAAGCTTTGATCCCCAGCGGTAACTGGTCACCTTGTAAGATGGAAACATCCGATTGACAGGCCGTTCGTCTTTGAACCACGTGATGTTGACCTGTATTTTCTTACTGTTCAAACGGCATTTAAAGATGACAGGCTTGTTTTGGAACATAGTGATGTTGTGATCCAGGCGCACTTTGAACTTAGGAACTGCAACAGAGTAAGCAATGTCGTTGTTAAATCTAGCTGAGATGAAAAAAACCTTTTTAAGTAAATCCTTTTGTCTACTACAAACACAAAAAGATCGAATTAACCAGGAATTTACGAAACTCTGACGTGTAACTGTTCCAATGCAAGAACAAAGGCTAAAAGGGAAGGGACTGGGAACCATCTTTTGAGGTAAACCCTTTAACCCTTAAGAGTGACTCGCATCTTAATTCTCCCTACGGTACCACCCCTGAGTCACACATTAGGATCACGAGGATAAAGGAAATGATCACCAATTAAAGAAGCTCTTTATCGTTAAACAAATTCTCCTTTTCAACCCCTTAGGAAATGTATAGAGAACAGTATGGAGAATATGCATACTGATGTTAGTGTGTAAAGGGTTAAGAAAGAGTATCAATTCAGAATAGCAAAACAAATTGACAAGCCTTCAAATGACAATACGACAGAAGTGTTGTCCCCCCCCCCCCAAAAAAAAAAAACCATGAAGTTGCTGAGTCTGTACAGGGTCGCTCTCACACAAAATTCTGAGCTGGCAACCCTTGGAAACTAACAAGAAGGAAATCTAAAAACTACAGCTTATCTTCACCATGCTCTACAGATTGGTTCCAACTTCCCAGAATACTGATTAAAACAGAGCGTGTAACCATTTACCAAGTGACTACTGCTTATCGTGCGGTGTAACGGTAACGTGAACGTCTACGAAATACTCTCAAACAGTAGAACGGTAATTTCAGGTGGAACACTTAACCCTTAAACTCCCATGAGTGACCAAGACGAATTTCTCCTTACAATGTAAATACAATATCAAGCAGACAAGTGATGAGAATGAAGTAAAATATCAATAAGGGGATTATAAGTTGATCCAATACCAAATTCTCCAAACTATCATCACAAGAACTGTACAGCAGACAGTAAGGAGAATTACTACTGAGATCTTGGGAATTGAAGTCTTAAATGAGTAGCGCTCTAGGTTTCCAAACTTGTGAAGAGAGCTTTAAATTGTAGCAGCTACCTTGGAGGATTTAAAATAGTATTTAAATACGTGGTGAGTTCGCAGATGAACCCATAGAGTTTAACGATCCGCACGACAGATCCGGTGTAGAGGTGTAGTTTGGCTCTGTTACTTACCCTGAGGTACTACTCTTATACAACTCTTGTACCCAGGCTGTCCCTTAGCTGGCATACTGTCACAATCCGGCAGGAGCCTGGAAACTAGAGGAAATCTTAAGGCGTTCTTGAAATCTCTCTTGCAAATGTCATTCTTCAAAACGAGGCAATCATCTTGACAAAACTTTCTGGGTTTAGCTGCAGACTGGGTCAGATCACATGGCGGAAAGCCATAATTACACAGAGCCGGAAGAACATAATCTCGACATCTTTCAGACACATATTGAAACAGCAATCCATAGTTGTTTTCTATAATTTCCTGTTGATGAGATTGGGGACGCTTCTTTGAAACGTAAATCTTCTGACCTTTGAGATACGGCTCACAAGAGTCGCCACCTGAGTAAAGTTCACACACGGCAGGTCTGAGGACGAGAAACAGCAAATTTACAAACCAACAATATTACCACATGTGACCAAAAAGAAAATGTCAACTACGAATTATTGTTTAATGAAACAAGAAGATATACTATGTTTCAATATACTTGACACGGCAGTTGTCGGTTCTTTATTTTAAACAAACTTCCAAACCAAACATTGTAAATTCTACAGAGCCACGCACTTAGATTGACAAAAAGTTCATTTTATTCAATTCTTTCACTTATCTTAGTAACGTGATGAAGTCTTGCTACAGTTAGTGGTGTTGTTTTTATTGTTATTGCAGTTGCTGTTGTTGTTGCTGTTTACTCTACTTTTTTCTGTGGTTTCAACATTAGGAATATTAACAAAATATCAAGAATAAAACATATTTTTTCGGTTCTAGAAGCGGCGGAGGGAGCAGAAATATCTGTAGTGTGAGATGGGATGGAAAATCGAAAGACTGCGCTCCGTCAAATAAGATAATTCAATTAACAAGATAAAGCTTTGCGGCGCGACAAATAAACCTTCAATAGTACAGATTTGTCTTACACCAAATTCAAAACTGCGAACTATTTTGTTGGTAGATAAAACATAGCATATTACAAAGCTGTTCCGCCTTTATTCACAGTCTCAGAACTCTCTAAACACAAAGAAAAGTGTTCACTTCAATTCTAACACTGTGGTCTACCTAACACTCGTAAAACACTAGAGATGAAAGTTGAGAAGTGTTCTTATCTCTCCGACAGGAATCGCTGTGTACTAAACGGTTAAGTGTGGTCAGAGAGAGATAACGACCCTCCGTGTGGTGTACAACGGAAAGAAACGTGATATTCAGTCATCTTAAACACAATGCCATGCTTCATGAGATTCCAACAAAGTGGCCCGGCTGTTTGACATACGAAAGTACTAACGGATGCTTATCCCGACAATATGACAGATTAGCTTTAACTTAAAACAGACTTGAGTAAGAAAATCCGCTTTACCCACAAGACAAGGCTTTCGCATTATAAAAGGTAATTACACACGTTAGATTTTATTTCGATAACTGAGACAGAACGTTGTTTTGCAATTGTTCCAGAGCAGGTCATCAAACGTTAATCGTTTTAAAGTCATCGTAAGTCAACGCAATTTAAAATGAAAAGAAAAATAAACAAACTGGTTATTTTTACGACAAGGGAGAGTGTGTTTAAAAATGATTTAAAAGTTTAGGAAAATAATGCCTTTGCAGGCCACTAAGAAGAACTCTGCCAAACTTAATGTGATGAATACAGAGATTTCTGTGGTTGTTGGCTCGGATGAAGTTATCTTTACTAACTTAAGAAAGAAGCAAACAAAAACAAAACGAAAAACAAAGCGCAAATCCTCATATTGAGCTGTCCAATTGAAGCTTTCAATATTCCGTTGCTGAAGCAAAATCCACATTATTTAAGAAATTCAATTCTTGTTTGCGGTGAATTCGGAAGTTGGTAAGGAAGTTTGGCGATGAATTTGAATAACCGCAAAAACAAGGCGGGCTTTAAAAAAGAAGTTTAAAAAGAATAGGAAAACAGTTTGTTTTTCTAAATTCTTAAGCTCCCGATTTTAAGTCCGTCATACATTTGTTGAGTCTGCATTTCTGTTTATTGTTTCCTTCGAAAATGTTGACATTGATCAAATCATTTCGCGACAAAAGCGCGCGTTCGCCTAGCAAAGTTTACTAACAGAATTGAAAGGACTTTTTAAACAATTCATTCAAACATAAACGCGCCGCTTATTTCAATAAGGAAATACGTTGAAGAATTTTAACGAGTTATCTAACCTCTTCAAAAGGATTTGATAATGATTTGATAAGTTCCGATTCGTGGTTGCGCACTCTTGCAATTAAACCCCAGAAAACACGCTGGTGAATTGCGCCATAACCCTTTACACCTTAGCATCAGTATCTATATTCTCCATACCCTTTCCAATATTTTTCTTTTAGTACTGAAGGAGAATATGTTTTACAATCAAAGCTTTCTAAGTTTGCGATCATTTCCTTTATTCTCATAATCTTCCTGAATGATTAAGTATTATCACTGTAAGGTGAAATAGGATGCTGGTCATTTTTAGGGTTAAATGGGATAACCTTAGTTCACAAGTGGCTTGCCTTGGCCATGTTATTGGGATCAGCGATGTCAAAAGCCTTCCTTAATTTAATTCCAGCAAAAGTAACCTTATCACGAAAGTGCACTGCTGCAGAAATAATACGGACTTAATTAGAACCTTAATAGCATAACCCGAAACTAGGTTTCTCATAGCTGACATTTGAAGGTCATTAATTAAAATCCATGACCTGAAAAGCTTTGTGATACGCTTGTATTTTAATCAAGTTAACTACTTACACAAATCAAAAACAGACAAATTGTCAGGATTTTTCCTTTTGGCAAAGAATAGCTCGAATTTTTGTTGAAGAAATTCTGTTCATAGTGATAAGTGCCAGAAAACCTCTACATGATGAGCAAATAACAGTCAAAGATTGGAACGAAACTATGATTTTATTTCTCTGTCGTTTTTTCTTTCAAATATTTGTTAAAAGAATCGAAGATTGAATCGTTAATGTACACATTCCACTCTATGTGAGTCAAAAAACAAACCTGGCGGTTTTACAGATTTTTTAAGACGAAACTGTAGCCTAAAATCCTGACTTAAAATGACTTTAAGTAAGAAGTCACTTCACCAGCTTCTAGCCAAGACTACCTGCATGTTCTCAGTTGACGAAATATAACTTTCTACATCAATTCTCTCACGGAAAGGGAACATATTAGTTTTACAACTACAGCACGAATTTTAGGGTAAAAGGATTTCCCATATAAAATTGCTACAATCTGATCTACGATTATATTCGAAAACAAACAAAAATTCGTTTCTGATAACAACGTGACCCTACTACCTTTGTGCTTGTAAAGTTTTTTTAAGAAATTTTTATTTCGTTCTTGGAAACTACACGCTTGAAAACTACTAGGGTTAGTGATTCCTATCGCTGAGAAAAAGAATTTTAACTCCTTAGAAAAAACTCAAAGATCTTCGCCGCCGTCTAAAACTTATCTTCATCTCAATTTGCGACAACTAAATTGATCTTGCGACAGTTTGTCTAGCTGTAAATGAAGTCCAGTCCCCACTGTAGAATAACAGTGAGTTGTTATCAGCTGAAATCTAAGAAAACATGAGCTCTCCCGTAGGAACCCCTTTCCTTTCCAAATTTAGTTTGTTGTAACAGTTACAACCAAACAACAGCATTTCAACGATAATCAAATTACCAACCTTTCTACCGAAATTCTCCTGTTAAAAGAAAGAGAATGTACGTGACCTTATTCGGAGGCGGTATTCTTATCATGTTCTAGTGGGATCCGACAGGATACCGTACACGAGGCCTCTGGGTGGATACTTGGTCGGTACAGACTTTGTGGTCGACTTAATTATAATAATTTATCAAATCCTACACGTCCGAGAACCTCCAATGAAAGATAAGATCCATTTTGACTCCTTGACCCGTCTTCTTGAAGAAAAAAATCAACCGCGAATAAAAATGCTCCCACCATTTTGATCAGAACTGATTGATGTTTAGAAAAAATTCATTAAGGAGATTTCGATTCTCTTCATTTTAATGACTAAAATGTTTTATTTGAACCAGGGTTCATGATCCTAATGAAAGAACAACAGAACTTACCGCTCAAGTACATTTAAATTAAGCTTTCTGATCATTACTAAGTGATAATAATAGCATGGCGGACGGTATTACAAGAAAAAAAGCTCTAGCAGCTTTTTCCGCTTTTACGAAAACAAGTAGTTAAAATAGAAATAACACTAAGCATTCAGACACAAGGCGCGATCCTTTAACATCAGAGGAAAAACTTTTGTTTGGAAATTCTTTTTTGCAGATTTTTTATATCCCGCACGGTTTCCTAGAGCTACCCATGTTTGAAATTCCGAAATTGATTTTCACCTGAGTGAAATAACGCTCTTCAACGCAAACAGTGTAACAGGAGTACAATAAAACTTGCACAACTGACTAAGTTTTATTGAATATTGTTCGTTCTGTCGGGAAAAAGATATTTAATTCGACTTGGGTTGCACGATTCCAACCGACCGAAAACAATAAAACGAACATGTACCATTCCGTTTTCTTCAATCTCTAAGCTTCGACGCTAATTGCTTAAAACACGAATACACGCCGCTGAAAGAGATCTTAAGATCTGAACACAAGATAGCGATCACTAAGTCAATTAACCTTCAGAGAAAAGTTTTAAAGTTCACCAGCAGAATATTCGATGAAGCAGACCTTGCTGAGGGACACCGCGCTACAAAAACTACTTGGCAAGAAAAGTGTCAACTCCCAAACAAAAATTACCACAAATAAACGAAAAACTAAATAAACATTTGAAAAACGAGGAAGTTTGTAACCCTCTCTCACTAACTAAACACTTTTTTAATGTTTTTAAACGTCAATAAGAATATTTAATCCGTCAAAGAATTCATTTTAAGGCATACCATAAACACTATGAGCAAAAAAAATTGAGGTGGTTTTATAAAGTATTCAAGTTTACCTTTTCGTCGTATCTTTCAAGGGCGAAAAAAATGACACAAATTTTATCTCTACTGACCAATATATCTCTGCTTTGTGCAGTTCATCTATAATGCAACATATCACATAACCGGGAAATCCGAACAAATTTTGTTATTTATTGAACAGAAAATGAGTTACAAGAATACGCACACATATTCGCCTTTCAGAATTTCGATAACCGAGTTCCGGACCTAAACTTTGACCACTAGGTCATTATTTTCTTTTCTTTTTTTTCTTCAATTGATTGATTAGTGAACCAACATTTTGTTCAATTTTCGAATTTCACGTTAAGGAATTCCCAAGATCTGACACAACCAAGCGTATTTATAAAATGCTGCATGAAAGAAAGTGAGCCGCCAGTGAAATCTATTTCAAAGTTCCACTCGACGAGGATACAAACAAACTATTGTTATGTTAACACTCCTAAACCATCATTTAAGTTATATTTACGTCGTCTGTCACAGCAGTTTTTCACCTTATGGTAAATTCCTTTCTTCTCCAAAACCGTGATTTTACTTCAAAAAGACCTCAATGGATTTACTGAAATCAGCGACAGAGTTTTGTGAGTTAACTGATTCACATTTCAAGGAAAAACCTCAATGTTTTCGCTTTCGATTGTAAGTGTTGTTTTACAACCAAATTGTCATACTGAACATAATTTGTAAACCGGGTGAATTGCCCCTTAAAGACAAAAGTGCATACAGTACAGAAAAGTCCATCTTCAATTAAGTTAAAGCTTGAAATGAACCTAACTAGGCAGAGAGAAATTTCATGGTCGGTTTATTCCAAGAACGCGGACACCAAACCAATATCACTCGTGATGGGAAAGCGACCTTTTTGATAACTCTTGGATAATCTTCCTCAAGCTAGGTAGGGCCTCAGCGAAAAAACAAAACTTTTACCTATGTTAACATTCTTTTCCGACGAATGACTTAACGAATTTCTGTTGTAAGTTCCAAAAGAAAGCATACATCGATCGCATTTTTGCTCTCTCAGTAAACCTAACTCGTTGATGACTTTCATTTGCTTTTGTCGCCCGCCGTATGTGACAAAAATTTCAAAGGGCAACTAACTAAACAGAACAATTAACTATTGTGTTGGATATTAAATCTACACTTGATTTAATTGCAAGGTTTGTAATGAGCCTAAAAGAGATCAAAGATGCGATATTTCGCTTTCACAAAAGAGACTGATGGTGGTCCTCTAAATTTAGCCGTATCGAAACAGATAAACAGCAAACAATATGGCTTGACATCTCTCGTCAACTACAAGCCCTTTTCCAAAAGCCGAGACAGCACCCAGGGAAATCATTGACCTCATTTGCATGGTGTTTGAATGAAAATGAACGTGGTTGGGTTTGAAAGAAACCCTGTTATCGAAACAATGAGCACGAACAATGCCTTCTACCGCGGCGATTTCTCGAACAAAGAACTTCTGTGTCAAACCATCTGACAAACGTGAATCATGAAAGATAGCCAACCCCTTGAGCCGTGCTCAGCACAATTCGTTAAAGCGCTTGAAGGCGAAATCACGAAACGCAGATGCGATGCAGATTATGTTGAAGTTGAAACAAAAAATTAACTTTAACCATCCCTATTTTAAACGCACTCGCAGTTTGGTTTGATCGCCAGAAAATAATGATCGCCTCCTTACTAGATACCGTCAATTCGTAGGCCATACTGTCTGGTTTAAAATTACCAACACTAAATTCCCTCCGCTGTACGGAAGCCAAAAATTGTTGTTGATAAATGAAGTTCTGCGAAATTTAGTATTCGTCAGCGATCAGACTTGCCCATTGAATACACTCACTTGGAATTTCTTTCCCGCTTTCTGGATCGTGAATCTCTTCTTCCATACTGCCTCGCTAGAGCTGTCAGTGAATTGAAAATAATCAGCATAAACACGGACGTATTCAGTTTCTAATGGCAGACACATGAAGAACACATGCAAGCACAAAGGGAAAACTTATTTGCCGCACAAAATACAACTTTAACTAACGATCAAAGGTTCTGGAAGCAGACAGCTTTGACATAATTGCAAGTAACTTGGCCACAGAGTTGATATCCAGCAAATTGATATAATTCTGGAGCACAGTGACAAATAAGTACAAAAGCGAACAGACAAATATTTTGTGCCTACTGTGGATTTAAGATTGTCTTTAAATGCTTCTACGAGATCCAAATTACGTTTAGATATGTTCAGAGATGCAGATCGGCGAAAGTTTAGTTATTTCGATCTTCGAACATGTTATGTCACTTAAAACCATCTTTCATGTTATAAGTAAACACAGTCAACAGACAACATGACCATATCAAACCCTAGAGGCCACAAGCGAGTCGAGAACACCGTACATTTTCACTTACCAAAGCCACAATTCCAACCGATCACCAAAATTCCAAACAGCAATAACACCGCTAACTTCATTGATTCTCCTGGTTGAACCTGGGAGAAAGCAGATGTCGCGTTATTTCGGCCTCGCTAAACAATCGCATCTCATCATTGTCAAAGTACAACGGCTTGTGTACTTGTCTCTCATAGAAAGAGCATTTGGGCTGCATGGCGTGACGTCACAAGCGACTGCCCCTTTGCGCCTATCGTTTGTCTCTCTAATTTCTACTTCAAATTAACTACCCCAAATCGTCTAATTACATTGGTTCAGAAATAATTAAGTTAGATCGTATTTCATGGATTATACCAAAGGTATTTAGACTATGCCACAAACCCCACGGCTTTCATTCAACACTAGCATTATTAAGCATCGCCTAAAAGCTCAAAAATTTATGATTTTTAATAAAAAGTTTATAAAAACTCAAACAAGTGCTATATGGGAGTTTTGTTAAATTCGGGGTTGAGTGAGGCTCGGGCGTTATACAAACATACATACTGGCTGCCTTGGCGACAATCTTAATACGTGAATATAATGGAGATAAGAAGCTCGACATCGGAGATTGTTCTCACAAATCGTAAAACTCACTTGAAAAGTTCCTCTTAAAGGTGAAATCCTGGTTAGATTCGCTTCTAAAAACAAATACCCTGTCTATTAAGTAAGCAGCCCCCGAATAAAAACCAGCAATAATGATATCTTCTGAGAGATTAGCAAATCAAAATGACACCTCTTTGGTCATCAGTCAGCGCCTCTATCCCTAAATAGTTTTTATTGTTTTCAAAAAACGGATCGACAAACCATCACGTATGAACAAACTCTTACAGCAGGGAGTTTTCTTTCACGAATCATTAATCATCTTTTGCACCATATGCAAAAGGCACTGGCTAATATAGTACAATCTTTCTGGTTACAACTGAAATTTTCAAGGAAGGAAGAAAACCTCAACTTGATGGTCTTGCTTGTATCATGAGTCCATACCTATTACACTGTGAAAAATAACAGTCTGCCTTCGGCCTTGGGAAACAATTTAGGAAACATTAAAATGTCCCAAATGCCGAGCCAACAAATGAGTCCCAGAGGGTTGTCTACGCGGAATTCACACTTCTGAAATTTCATCCGAACTCAGTGGTTTTCCCGGCTACGCACGTAGGGGTTAGGTATTTTTAAAACTGAAATATGGGCTCCTTTAAAAAAAACATTTTTTTAACTTTTATTTTAAATATTTCCCGCTTGATTAACTGGACACCTGCTAACTTCTTTGAACTGCAAAGGTAGCTGAGAGCCTTTTTGAACGTATGCGAGAGCGAAACTCGATCTACAGATGTTAATGTGAACAATGTTGGAGATTTAAATAAAGGAAGGAAATGCAGCGAAGTACTTTAATTGTTTAGCTCTTTACAGTTTTTATTGCTTAAGGAGGTTTTTCGGCCTTGTGCCGTATCTTAATGACCAAGTTTATAAACAAACAATCTAACACTTAACTATCTGTCATTATTTGCTCGCATGACACGAGGCTTTCCAACTTTTTCCTCTCCTACAGATATTACACAATAATACACAATGTAGATGCTATAATCTACAACAAGAACTATCACGTCGGAGAATCTCTAAATGCAAAAGATATCTGAAAGCTTTGGGCCATGCGTCCCCGGTTCTCTGGCTAAGTTAACTATCGTTTCCGGTCCAAGAGCGATCGAACAAGCACAGCTAAATCAAAGGCTGAAAATAATAGCTAAAAACCGGCAGAATTCGGAGCCTTTGAGGACACAAAGGGGCGGTTAGAACATAGTTGGGAGCTAATTAAAAACTACCGAGCGCTCAAAAATAATATAATATTCATTAGAGGTTGGGTGCGGACATTTAATCACGTTAATTAAAAATTTTCAATAAAAAATGAACACGTCACGAATTTGTTGACCAACACAGAGTGCTTTTGTAAATCGTTTTCCTACCAATTTATCACTTCTTGAGACGAGAACAAGAACACAAGAGCCACATTTTTAGATATTAATTTGCCAATGGAGTGATAAGAGACGATGGCGAAAGACGAGCCTTCTAGAACGGTCCTCAGTTACCCAGTCTGTATAATTTGTTCCACATTTAATCTGTGCGGGAGAGTTTGTTTCCTTTTATGGTCTGTTGCATCTTTAATCAGTGCCTTATGGGAAGAGCGTTTATGAAGGTGGTTTTAAAACTCGTACGTTCTAATCCTTAACCTTCAGCCCTCAACTACCAGTAGTGACCAACATGTATCTTCTCCTTGCGATATCAATACAATAGCCAGCAAACAAGTAATAAGAAAGAACAAGCTTATCAAGTAGAAGGTGCGTTGTTGATAGAACACCATATTCTCTATACAAGTTCTTAGGGATGAAAATGAAGGACAGTTGAAAGGGAGAACTTCTTTATCGGCTCTTGAGATTTAAAGGATTTTCAGTTAGAGAAAATATCGCCCAGTCAGGGTAGAGGGTTTGCGTTTAGTTGAATTTTGTGGCATATCATAAGAGTGTCGACCCGCTCGCAGATGAACACTTTCACTCCCATGAGTGACCAAGACAGAATTTCTCCTCACAATATCAAAATAATATCAAGCAGACAAGTAATGAGAATAAAGAAAAATTACAGTTAGGGAATCAAAGGTTGATCTAATACCAAATTCTCCACGCTAACATCACATGAATTGTATGGCAGACAGTAAGGAGAATTACTAATGAGATCTTGGGAGTTAAAGGGTTCACAAGATGACAAAGATATCGCAGCTAACTGTGGTTTCCTTTCTGAGAATCGTAAAGTTTGTCGGCAAGAAATCCTTAAGAGCTTTCTAGATTTTTCTATCCAACCATCCATACTTAGCATAGAAACATTTATCTAAAAGGTGTAAGAACAATCTTGAAACAATCACCGAGCAATACGCAAGTTGAATGCCGTAAAAAGTTTGTGGATATTTACAAATTTTGTAGGCAGCTTTCGAGTTAAACTTCACTCTCAGCTTGTTGCTACACTAAAATGAATGAATAATCAAATAAATGGAAATTCTCGGTTGGCTTTTTAAAATTATTCTTACTTTTCCTGAGTCAGATTCAACATTCTGGGCGGAGAAACTGAAAGACGACGTTTTTCATCAATTAGAAAGAAAAGGAAAATTAAATGCTAACAAACCAATCAGAAAACGAACAGCGCAGTTAATTTGAATTTTTCAGTAAAAGAAAAATTGCATTTGATTGTCCACCAATGAAGGCATCAGTCCACCTCTTCTAGCTTTTTAGTTCCCTTTCATGAGATGTGGTACCAGAAGTGGAAAAACGCGCTAAAAGAAATGCTTATCTTGCCAGAAAAAAACAATGGAATGTTTGGAACGAAAGTTTTCAGTAATTTTGTCATCAATGAATTGCAATGTGGATTGATGTGTGGCCAATATCTTTCTTTTTTATGCATTTTTCCAAAAGATAATCATGTGATATATTTGGTCTAAAATCCAGAAATAGTAGCTCTAATTAACACCATCTTCGCGAGTTATCGCCGTTAATTTGATTTAACTTAATCATTTCATGGCATACATTCTTAGATCTTAGTTTTAAGTAAAACCAGTGGCTGTAAATTAGTCCGCAATGTACTTGTTAAACTTTCAAGTCCCGAACAAGTTTTTTGAAGAAGAATTTTCTTTCCTTTGAAATATCATTCAAAACTTAAGTACGCCGAGCGTGAGTTTCTCAGGACTGACATTAACATCTAAAAACGATTAGACGACCTTGATTGCTCTAGAGGCCAGGATTTTAATTATTTAGCTCCATAATCTGGTTTTAGCACTAACAAGGTATACGCAGTTTATGTCAGCTTTTTTTCTTATTTCCTCCTTTCTTAAGCCCTTTAATTTGGTGACCTTCATTGTTTGCTTTGTTCTGACGTTCAAATTTATCTCAGTTTAACGAGATTCCGTGAAATAATTCTTTTCCTCTTTAGAGTGAAGTGAACCTGATCTAAAGGCGCTCTTTGCTGCTTCTTGTCAAAGTCCTGACCATTTATCTACGAACGCAGTTTATGCTCCAACTGGACAGAGTCGCTTTCCCAAGAATAAAGTGTTTTGTAGAGTAGATCACTTTTGACACAACCCCTTCGTTATCAATATACTCTATGCGACTCGGATTTTTAATGATCATAGTTTTTTAACTCACCAAACAGTAACGAGAAGGCAATAAACCCTTTTTATTCTAACGAACGGACCAACTGTGAGAAAAAAATTGGTAGTAGTTGACCTGCCGTGTGGAAATGAAAAATGTTCTCAGCTATCAGGCTACCATGGGAGATTTAAATGGCTCTTTTCCGAGAGATTTGAGGGACTGATCTAACAAGCTAACAAGGTGATTTGTGATTTGTATTGAAAAGCGGAAAAACGAAAACCAACTTAAGGGTAATTTGAAACTAGTGTTTCCGGAGCACAGTCAAAGGGAAATTCCATACTAATTAATCAGCATTCTTGGTGGAGACAAAACGAGACAACTGCGCGCGTTGCTTAGCAAAGAGAACTCAGCATGATTTTCCTTACCGCTTCTCTGTGGTTAAAAAACAAAATCAAACTACGCACGGGGGAAGCTCCGGCTTAAACAACGGAAACCAACTTCAGCTAGTCCCGCCCAGCTCTTAAAGGAAGAAATAAAGATCCTTTAAGGGTAAGCTACACTGGAGTGAGGGAGAGAAAAACGATACTAAAACATTGTGAGGTTATTTTGCACTGAGATATTTTACGATTGCTTTAACTGCCATTCAAAATGACCCAAAGAAGGTTGAAAAGAAAAAACATTGAATCCAATTTGTTTATTCATTCAAGGCGCTTAAACAAACGTCCTGCACACCATGAATTTATTGCTTCATTCAGTGGAGCTCTAGAAATATCATATGCCACAGGCCTTCAGACCATAAACTGTTTATTTAATATAGGAAAGGCCTGTTATTATTATTATTTTTCCTTTCAATCATTGATTTACTCTCAGGCACAGGAAATATATCGTTTTTCGTCGAGATCCGATTAAGACCCCCTTTTGGTATAACACTTTGGCTCGAGCACGAATTTCATTTTCTCTTGAGAACTAGAGGTGAAAAAATGTCAAAACTCTCAAGAAAAAAAATGGTGTAAGTAGAATGTAGGACATGCGCTCTGGCGCAACTCCACTTCACCGTCAACAGCTCCATTGTACAGGAATCCATTCATCTGGTTTTCTATCAAAGCGTCGGCCAGATTAGTAACAAACAAAGCTTTTCGGATTTAAGTTGAATATTTTAAGAAGGGGTGGAATGAATCGAATGGGAACACAATTGAAAAGAATGGAATCACGATTAATTGACGCGTACTTGGATGAAAGTTTTTTTTTCTTAATGCTTTAAACAGCCAAGAAAAGGCCCGAAACTAATTAAAAATTTTTTAACAAAATTGTAAAATTCGGTGCGATTTGATCCTCGGATAGCTCATGGAAAGTTCTATCGTTACAACCTAATTCAAGAAATAGTGTAAGAGCATTACATACATTATTTGCTATTTTAAGCCAAGAAAAGGAAACGAAACATGGATAATTGAGGTTCAAAAACTGCATTGTTAGCTTTAGGTGGAGATTTTATTAAGTGCATGATCCGGCAATGATCAGTAGCTCTGCTGGAGTTGAAAAGATTCTAAAATTAAATTTAGCCTAAGGGGTTTTTCGGTCATCTAACTCTCTGGTTCTTATAAAAAACCTTTTCAATGTGGTGGACATTGTTGTAAACGTTCTTACTCTTAGTTTGTAATTTTCCACCATCATGAGATTAAAACGAAGAGATTGCAATTCAAAAGGAGAAGAAGCCACACAATTAAAGATTAAAATAACTTTTAAAACAGTATAGGCTTTCTATTTTTGAAAAACATGATCATAAATAAATCGAATTCCAAAAAACTTTAAATTTCGGAAAATCGTTGATTGGAGGTGTCACTTAACTGTTGAATTACTCTTGAAAGCTATCTAATATTTGCCATTCTCTATCCGATATTTTGCTCTTGAAATCAGATGACTGAGGGCAACTTTGGCAATAATTTACCCATGATCCTGCAACGACTATAACTGCGCAATTTTCATTTTGTTGCAGTGTTAAATGCAGTCGCAACTAACGTGGAGAGAAATCTTTAAAGCAAGGTAGTGAGCTATAGTCACTGAACCATAGCTGTAATTATCACGCGCTCGACATAAGATATTTAGTTATTTGTACCTTTAATCTGTCGTTCACAGCCCGAGGGCAAAGAAAAGAAATGATCCCAGTTGAATAGTTCTTTTGTTGAACTATACTGGGAATATGTGCACGATAATATGGTCGGTCGAGTAAGTAGTAATTTCATAAGATATTGTCCTCAATGAGCAGTAACTTGGGTGGAAGATTAATAACTTTAGCCGGCAGCGATCGTTGAATTCCGTTGTTGAATACCATATCAGAAACTAATTTACGAACAATGCTGCTCTTTTGATGATCGCCGAGTGTTTTGAAAGTGCAATCATTCTTGTGATCATGCAAACAGAACGAACGGAAATGAACATGTAAATTTAGGGTTTCGCGCTGAATAGAAGTATCAAGTATAAGAAAATATTTGTCATTTCTCAGACAAGTGATTATCTATCAAACATCAGGGATTTGTTTATTTGTTTGCGGATATATTATCTTGATGATCCATTTTTAAGATGCTATCTGCATTTAAGTAACTTCTATCCTTTAAACTTCAATTAAACAAGGTCTTTAGTTCTTTATCGGGAAAATAATACTCAGTATCGTTCGTGACTGGTGTTTGTACAACGCATTGATACTGTAATAATAAAGTTCAACAATAATGTTAACATCTAGACGCGACTTTAGATCGCTTTACACCTCCAAATTGTATGCTTTTTTGCCCAACAAACAGAGGTTTGAGGTGGCTTTTCTGTGTTCGAACAGGGTAAAAATGCAGCCTTCTGATGTCTTAATTATGATCCGTTTCAAATTGTCCTAGCCATACTTTTTTGGGTGTATACTCGTCAATATGATCTGCACGCTTTACGCAAGTCGAAAGATACCAGGCTTATCTACCGGTGAACAATATCACTGATTGATCACGAAAGTGTGAAATACCATGGTTCTCACCTCTATGAAGTCTTTCTTCTGTTGTTTTTATATCAAAGAACCCTTGCAGAAAAACACAGCTTGGATTGCTCAGTCCCCTCTGATGATGATTCTTCTAAAGTGATGTGCTTGTCTCGGTTTATGAAACTTAATACTTGTCTACTTTATATTATGTGGAGTACCTCTGGCATAAACAGATATTTTTCAGTCTGTCAATGCTCCGTCAATAGCCTCAACCAATTTGCGCGGACGTTTTTACGATTACACACATCTGCACGAACTCAATAACTATCTAGCAACCGACCGCAATTCTGTACCAGCCAAGGTTATAAAGTGATTGTCAATCAATTCTACACGTACCAATCAGATCACGAGAAGTGGGTGGTTCTTGGCTTTAATTAATAGACTTGACACTGTGTATGGCAGATTAGATCAAATCATTTGTGTCTGACATTAACAGGGCTTATAACCAACTACGAGAGTGTTTGTACAACGCATGGCTGCACCAGAGAAAAATGTTATAAATATAACTTGTTTTCGGTTTCGTGTCTTCGAGAAGAGCGCGAAACATGGACTTCATTTCGCGCAAAATCGCTTCATGATGTCGTTTCGTGCGAACTGCTTGACAAAACAACATAGGAGCTTGTACAATTGATAAATAGCTGGAAATAATCAATAATGACATGCTGTGAAAGCCACAGCTGCGAACAGCTTGAGTATGGTTAGCCTTTGGCGAAAGTGGCCATAAACAATAAACTTACATCAGTTAATTGAATCCAAATCACTTTAACATTTGTGCGCTTTAGGTGTTTGCTGTGTTTCTTTTATTCTGATCTAGAGGGCTCATCCTCTGGAATGTGAACTCTTAATCACCAACTTATAACTTATTATTCAAACTGACGAAATATTTTTTTCCTGATTCGAGAGCAAAGAATTAGACGAAAGATCACGATTTGACTTTACGATCACGGCTGCAAACAATGTGGGCTCAGATCCAAAGGTCACAAAAAATTCCTTACGAAAGAGGTTCAGCAATTGGTCATAGGAATTACCACGACAGTTCTTGCAAAGCTTTGAGTGTTGAGAAAAGTGACTGGACTCCGAAAAGAAACCTACCATAATGTTTTTAAGTCGTTGTGCTAAATTCTAAACAAAGGGGAGAGACATTGATAGAAGAGCTTCGATCATCAGTCAAGTTGGTGTAGTTTGGCTCGTATGCCAGGAATTTCCCACATGTTCCCTCGGTTCACATATCGACATTTCCTTAGTCGTTTTTAACATTCTTGTTGAAATATAAATACAAGTGACAATGGTGCGGAAACTCAGTGATGAAGACAAGAAGGAAAGATGTCATTCCGCACTATGCGACGAATTGAGAATTACTAACATAGTTTCCGGCAGAAGTCTGCTTAGCACATCCCGTCTGGAATATTAGACATTTGGGTTAAATTAATGACGCAGACTCTCAAAAGCGTGGTAACTTGGAACCCTGTTTACCACTGACGTATTTTTTCGTATGTCTCACCGGTTTGATTACATAAAACATCAAGTCAAATCTTGAAATATCGACGTTAGGAGGGAGAGGAACAGGGCTGCGTGCTATCCCATCACCCTATATTCACAGGGATCAAGATTCCTACCACGGCACTAATCTGGTCCCTCTCCTTCTCCCAAATAACCTTTTTCTCTTCCCTCTTAGGTACAAGAGGAAGAGAAACGGAATGTGTCTGTAACTGATTGACTCAGAAACAAGACAATTTGGCTTTTAGCAACCATTGTGAAGAAGAGAGAGAGTTTTAAAGCAACGTTTGGGGAAAATTTTATCGCCAGTAAAAACCAGAGGAAAAAAAACATAAGCACTGTACTATAATGCGGCATAATGTTAAGAAAGTTCCAAAACTTACATGCGCTAACAACATGTACAGCTGGGGTATCTTAGTATGTTTTGTAAGTCCGCCCATCGACAGTGGATAATGATCTCAAGAATTGTATTGTACTCTGAGGTGTATCAACTCGGATCAATGATTTTTTTTTCATTATTGAAAGTGAATAAATGGGATCAAGTCGAAGAGGACTTAAAGAGCGTAATGGCTGTTAATTCAATAGTTGATGAGTCATTAATCATTTGAGAGTGCTCGAAATTTCAAAGACTCGAACTTTTTCCAAACTTAGATCATTCATGAAAGCAATCAATTTAACGGCCAGTGCAGAATCTTAATGTAATAGAAATCCGGTACCAAAAATAGTCTTAACGTTCTAAAAACCAAAACATCAATTTCATTTAGATCGGAATTAATGATATTCAGATTTTAATAATCAACGCCACTGGCAGCTTCGTTAGCTAGAGAAAAGATGATTCTTTCGATATTAAAGACTGATAAGTGACTTATAGTTGACATCTATCAAAGAATTATGAAAATGTTAAGTTTTGCATCAACCTCTTGAAATAGCCTGAGGTGAACTTAAATGTATTCTAAACTCGAGGGTGCTTAGAAATGATGAACTTGTTTCATAACCAGATAATAGTACTTAGAACCTGAGTAATAACAGGCCACAAGAGTGTTTTCAACTTTGCGGTTCTTTTACTGATTTTATCTAGAGTTTGTACTCAAATACTTTCCGCTCAGCAATTGGAACTCCAGAACAAACATCTCAAGTTCCACCGCACACACATCAGTAGGTCAAGTAGGAATTGTTCCATGATTGTTTGGTAAACGTGTAAAAAAAGAGATCACATAGTGATACATTACAAAAGACATGCAGTGCTTTGCGCAATCGAAGGCACCCCATTTGTTATGTGGAATTGAACGCAAAATTTGTATAGAGCATAACATTAAATTAGCAACTGAACGAAGACACTTAGACATGCTAAAATTAGTGTAGTGGGCTTAAGAAGCGATTGCTACGTGTTTAACTACTGAACGGTGTCAGCAAACCATGATACTTCGGAAAAGCTTGAAATTAAAACAAAAGTGATTCACATCTCAGGAAAATTCATCATACTATGAAGTTGCAGCATATCCGCACACTCACGACGCATTGACGAAAAAAAAACGAATGCTCTGAGATAGCTCAAGACCTAATTTTTGGTACTGCACTTTCAACAAAGCTGTTAAGTTTTTTAGTATTCAATTGAGAGAAGAAAATTTAGCGCTTTCATATCTAGCCAAACTGAACCATGTCTAGTGATAGTGGTATTAAGGGTGCACGCACGCTAGGAACACAAGGAGAACAAAGGAAAGTATTTGCGGTTGAAGATTCGTTTGTTACTTCAAAAGAGTGAAAGGGAAGAAAAAGTCAAAGGGAAGTTCGAGAGGGTTTTGAAACTCAAGAATTGCAGAAGTAACAAAATTACAATTATTTATCAATTTTAACCGGATTAGTGGCGAAATCGATTCAAGTTTTTAAGAACGTTCGTTTATCTTGACGCCGAAACGCATCGATGAAGACTTTACAAAGTCACATCCGGTCATACAAAGATAGCAAGAAGCATGCAATCTCCAAGAAAATGCCTGATTCCCGGCAAATTTTTTACGCTAAAAGAAAGGTACACTGTCGACCATAAGGCTCAAGAGGTCATATCATTTATCATCATTTACAGACTAAAGTCAGAGATGACTCTAAGCAAAAGGCAAATTCACAAGAGGCAATGGCAAACACGCGAGTAATTTTAAGATGAAATATACATTTGAATAAAGGGCTGGAATTTGCCAGGCTAATTATGGGGCAGAATACAATTTACTCAAAAAAAAAAGAGGAAAATAAAGAAAGTGATAGGAAACTTTCACCGGAGTGGAGCTAACAATGTAATAATAACTGTTAGCAAGTTCATTTGATATGAGCGAATACGATCGTTATATCGCAGAATGTTTTTTTTTTCCAATTTTTTTCTATAATGGAGCTTTTCAGCAACCAAACATGCCTTGTTACACTGTTATTTTTTGTAAGTAAATACTTAATGTATCAGGAATTAACGAATTCGCTTTGTTTGCTTGTGTCCCTTTGTGAGTATGGTTTCTTGACTTCATTCCAAAATAATATAAAAAAAAGACATATACCTGATGATGTACCCTTGAAAAACTCCATAAGAGAGTTTTGTCGTTTTTCACCAAGGTTTTGCTCTCCTTGGTAGATGGAGATGTTCTTGATGATTACGTTAGTGTACCTCACAAAATAAAGATTTGTTCGATGTATTTTATCGAGCATCACAAGTTTGCGCATCAGCAGAACCAGTATCATGGGGCGAGGAGAGATTTGACCTTATTTCTTTTCTTGGTATTTGTTCGTGCATTCGCGCATCTTTTAAGCTAGCTCCTCTCCAGGTGTTTATCATTTATTTTTCGGTGAAACTTGGTTATTTAAGATACTAAAAAGAAATGGTTTAATTTTGCCTTACACCTTCAAGTAGAGTAACGTTTGATTTTCATAACTCCTTGTAAATATTGTAAAGGTGTGAGGATATGAAGCATTTTAGTCATTCCGAGAGTTAACACTTAAACCATTCTTAAAGAAATTTGGACCTGCTTTGAACTTATAAATATTGATAAGTCACCAGTATTTGCCAGTGTAAAATTCTTTAAAACAAAAATTACTCTTTTCTTTGTCGTTGTTGTTGTTAGATATTTCTTTATTTTTATTTAAGTTTGTTTTCATTTTGTTTTGTTTTTTTGTTTTTTCTCCGCATTTTTACGGACATTATCTGAACATTGCCTTTATGTGGGTATGCAGATTAAGGGAAACAATGAGAAACTTATATTTATCTACAAGGTTTAAATTTAGAGTTACAGCGTAAATGTTTACAAGATTCGAAAACCGCAAAGAGGCCATTTGATAAGCTTCTTATTAAAAGTATGAAAATTATGCTGATGCAACAAAGACTGCATTGAATTGTTGGCTCAACCGATGACACTCGTTTTCAGCTGGAGAGCAAAGAAAAAATACGATTGTTTAAAAACGGTGCTTAAACTCGTCCATTTGTGTGCACTTTTTCGTGGGGTTAAAAAACCGTAAGGAGAGCTTGATTCCTCTAAGTGGCCTCCAGGCATGAATGGGTATTTATTCGGTGTATCTATGATAGTGTTACATAAGGCAGACTGTTAAGCTCACTTCAAAAATAGCTTCTTAAGCTTTCAAAACAGCAGATTACACATTTTTATGAAGTTCTCGCTGCGAATAAAGCCAAATTAGCCATCGGCAGCTCGAGCCTGTGTTTATTTTTGGAGAGATCAGCACCTTTCGGAAGCGAGCTCTCGTGTGCCATCGAGTATAAATCCTCCCCGTGAGAAGAAAAAAAACCGCAGTAATTTTGTTAAAAATTCCCGTAATGAGCTTATCCGGCTCGTTTGAAAATAGGATTCTACCTAAAGAACTTTGGAAAATTCTCACTCAAACTGTGAACTGGCACCAGTAGGAGGACCATTAGCACACGACACACTAATCCTTGCTTAAAATTCCATTTGAAAGACATCGGCGTCATCTGATGCGATCAGCCAATAAAGCTCGTTGCTTTTCACGGCTTCAGGTCTAAAATAGGATAAACTACCAAACGAAAAATTCCATTTCATTAAGATCGTTATTTTGGTGTTGAAAGCTCAACTACAGTTCCTTTAATTACCTTAGTGCTGTGTTGCAAGACAAATTACAGTTCAAGTCTTTTAGCATTGGTCGAGAAAGCAGAGAGTTCAGGAACACATGCAACATCGTATTGTGGAAGTTAGTTTCATAGATGTGCTTTCCATTACAATACAGACCACCAAACAGTTTCTCTGCAATCTTTCATTTGAGTCTCTTTCTCTATATATTTTTTGTCCCTATTTACGTGGATACTTGATTATCAGAGATTTAAGTACTCCAGTTTCGCCTTAAAACCATAATCCATAATACTCTTGGTTTCGTGATGCCCATGCAAAGCTGTGCTTGTTGGTTTGTTTTCTGAAGCAGATTTTACATTTTTAGCTCGCACAATGTACGTATTCAACTATATCAACTTCAATCAGAATTTCGGACAAATCAAGCATGTGATCATTTGCAATAAACGTCAAATGCGCCCTTGGTCATTGAATATCGATTTGTACCTTCTTGCAAAGGTAAAGTACAGAGCAGATAAAACATGTGCAACTTTCCATACTATTTCAAATTGTACACTCTGACGAAGGGCTAACGCCTAAAACGTCGGCTTTATAAACTCTTTACGGTGGCCAATACACTATCAATGCAGTAGAGAAAACCAAATTACCCTGAATTACCCCCCACAGACGCTGCACCATAGTTTCTTTAGAAACTCACCCCTTTTTTGTAGGAGTCCTTTGAACATCTATTTCATAACTGAAGCACTTACCCCACTGAAATAAAATTCCTTTTTGCTACAGAGAGATGATAAAGAAGCAATCCCTTGTGAAAGGACAGATCTTTTCTTGTGCTGTGAAGCGCGTAAACATATGCGAATGACGCCCCTTAGCAATCTCTGATACCTATCATATAATTTGCAGTGTTTAATTAGCTGCTGACACGTTATCTAGACATTTATCTAGACGCAAACAAAATTTAGCTAATCCAAAAAATCTCGCACCCAATTCACACAAACTTACCTTTTATTAAAATGTCACGAGGGTATTATCTGTCGTAACGAGTTAAAACGCAAATGTTTTCCTCATTTTCAGTGATAGAATTGATAGAATATAGCTTTGGTTGGGAAATTAAGCGTTGTATTTCGTGAGTGTTTCATCGCATATTTGTCATCACCGGAACTTAGGAGAGCCCGCACTTCGTGGGAACTAGGGAAATTTTCTCGTTAATCAGAGGGAAAAATTTAAGATGACAGTCATAGGCTTACAACTCACGAGGCTTTGGTTAAGGAAATACATCTCTGGATTTATTCAGTCAAATAGTGCAACACAACTATTCAATTCCTCGTGACTTTTTTATTTAGAAGGAACGTATAAAAAATACAAAAAATTAGCATTAATTCCAGCCTTTGGGCGTTTTTATCGTTGATTAAGATGACACTTCAGCGGAAATATTTCTGTATTCATCATTCGGTTTTTTTTATTCTT